CAAGTCAGCAAGTCACGCGGGAGATTCAAAGTTTGAAATTGAATCAAGGCGGCGCGCGGTGAGCGCGCCCACGACATCGCGGTGGAGTGGCAGTTGCGCTGAGGGCGCATTGTATCCATGTTTTAGCAGTTTATTCATAGGTGTGAGTGCTTTCCTAATGGCTGGGATATAAAGCCAAGAGTTAAGACTTGTTAGCAGTTAGCTAGTCCAGAATTGTCGTGCATTGTAATCGAACTTATCGATAGTGAAAAGGGGCACTGTCTCCCTGTTGACAGTTGCCAGTTCGTGGTGCACACAGTGTTTTTGATCAATTTCATCGATTGATTTCTCGTGTTCTAGGCTAGACACCGATCAAAGCTCGTGATTGCTGGTCCTAATTCCTACACCGGTGACGCCAACGTGAGCCGCCAGCGCTTGACGCGCGGCGCGAGGTCGTCGGCGGGCCCGAGAGTACGTGGTGACGGTCCTCTTGACGGCGGCGGTCCCGTTGGTGTTGAGCGGAGGAGCAAGAGGAAGCCATGTGTGCAGTGTGCTGTGGGCGTAGCGCGCTTAGCTTCCTCGGCGCTAGAGGGGGGAGGCGATGTACCTATGCTGGAGAGAGGCATGACGGTGTGGTGCGGGCGACAGCTGCTGGCTTTGTGTAGTGAAGGTGTGAAGTAGGAGGACGTCTCACCTCAGACAAGCCCGGTCACGATTACTATCGTGCTGAAATTTTATATTATTTTTGAACATTTAATGACTCTCTTCGAAAATACTCCATACTAAAAATTATTGTTTTTTTTTCATGCCATGAGCTCTCGATAAGATCTATAAATTCTTATATTTGAGTTTTTTCATTTGAGGTCCTTAAGATGCTCAAAAAAATAATATAATATTCCAGCAGCATATTAATCGCGTATTATGGCTTGTCACCTTAGAAAAATAATATTATTCTTGTACGGTATCGAATAAAGATACTTTGTATATGAAAATTGTTGTTGTCGATGAGATTTATAAATTCCAAGTTTTGAGTTTTTTCGTTCGAGATCGTTAAGATGGTCCAAAAATTGATACAAACTTCAGGGAGCCAAACAATACTGGCGTTGACATGTGGGTCCCATCTGTGAGATCCTCGACATGCCACATATGGTAGCAGGTCGAACCAAACCCAGCACCGGCTAAGACTACAAGAACAAAGAGGACTAATTATTACACACCCAAAGCAGCTGATACAACACGCAGACCGTTTACAAACTGCACACCGAACCATCTAACGGGTTGTTCGGATGATGGTTTTTGTGGCCGATAAGCCGGCCGATGCTGTTTTATTGTGAGAGAAAAATATTGTACCATGGCTAATAAGTTCAAGCGAACAGGGCATAAATTAGGGAGCCAAATTAGGTGACTTTACGGAGCAAAGTTACATTGTAACTTTCCTGCGATCTCCACCCTCCATTCCGTATCCAACGACTCAGCACGCATTCAAAGCAAAAGCCTACAACGCTTAGCATTTTCCGTCCACTCCGGCAGCAGTCTGCGGCAGGTCCATGCCGGAGCTCCGGCGGGCTGCCTTCCCTTGCGGCGAGGAAGCGGGAGTCCAGCAAGTCGTCAACAAGCTCACCCTTCTTTGATGATGATGATGATGCTAACCGTAACAGCAGTCTGCTGCTGCTGGATTGTTGCAGATATCCCTTTGTGCAGGGGGGAAATGGGGAATGGGTCACTGTCAAAGATTTGGTGCAGCGAGATGACCTGCCGAATAAGGACAAGGACATTTGGCTCTCCTACAGCTTGTGCCGGCTTTTAGCAAGGCGCTACTATGGGTTCCACTGCGCCGAAGAAGGAGATGACAAGGTGCGCCGTCTTGCGCTGGCGGACCTGAGGACAACAGATGGCTACAAGAGGGCATTCACCATTGCTGAGGTGCAGTTGGCTTTCCTTCACGTTTACTTCTTCACCGCCTCCCTCCCAATCATAGAATCAGGATTGAAGTACATTGATGCTGCACAAAAGTTAATGGAGGCATTCACAATGATCATTTCAGTCTTGTCTAGTGCCATTATTCCAATCGCCCCGATTGCATCGTGTTGAGACCCCAATGTCGTTGCTGGTTAAAAATCTTTTGGCCATCTATTGGCGTCCAATACATACTGCTTTTCGAAAACTCAATGGTCTCCCCAACGACCGCCTCATCATCATCCGTTTTAGGCCTAGTCCTAATGCGCAGGATGTTTTGACCCGTTTCAAGCTCAAACGGGTGGTGCTTACTGGAGGAACAAAATAGGCCAATACTCAATTCTCCAAGACTACAACCGTCGTCCCTCTCCCAAGAAGGCACTTGTAGCCTGGTTCCACAGAATTGTGCTATCCCAACCATCGTATGGGTTCATCAATCATCTCCCAGTAGAAGAAGAAGAAGTCGATATGCTGCAGCTGGACAACATGAGAGAGTTGGTTGCCGATACTCTCCGAGATATAGATGGCCCGCCAACAAACGGTACCAGATCTCTGAAGATTAACATGGATCAGATAAACAGGGACGAGATAAGCAGGGGCAGTGCTGGTTATGACTGGTTATTGACCTGCAAGCAAGAAACTCACACGGACACCATCCTCATATGGCACATAGCAACCTGCTACTGTGACATGTCACTGCGCCATTGTGATCAGCAGGAAGGGTTCCCCCGATTAGCCGACACCGACACTTTCCATGAAGTTGCCACAACATTGTCAAGGTACTGCGCCTACCTAGTGGCCTTTCTTCCGGAGTTCCTCCCGGAGCACAGCCTGACCACCAAACAAGTGTTTCAAAGAGTCTTGCAGGAAGCACAGCAAGAACTAGGAACAAAGCCAATGAAGGACGAGGAGAAGCGAACCAAGATCCGAGGGCTACAGCTACCAGACCAGCAGGAACAGCAGACGACCTTTCACAAGGGTGTTGAGCTGGGGCAACAACTGGAGATGATCGATGACGACAAGGTACGCTGGAGGTTCATTGCAGAGTTCTGGGCGGAGACAATCATGTACGTCGCGCCGTCTGAGAACGCGGAGGCACACATCGAGCACCTGGCCAAAGGCGGGGAGTTCATCACGCACCTCTGGGCCATGCTCTCCAACGCCGGCATCGCGAAGTGCGCAACAGGGAATGGCATCCGCCTGCTTCCACTACCAAAAAGTAAGCAATTTGTGAGCTACAGGGCTAGCCATGGGTGCTAATTAAAACACCCAGCTTGTTAATCTTTTGTACTCAAGCCTCCAACTGGTGTGATGTTAGGTCCTGCAAATTTTGGTTTTTGATTTTGTTGGTCCATTCTATTTAGCTTCATATGGGATTTTTTTTTTTTGCTTATAATGGAGAGGACCACCAAAGAAGATAGAGACCACCAAAGCAAGAACTCAGGAGTGCCCCTTTTAATGATGGGTGTTAAGGAAAAAGCAAGCTAAAATTAAGGCTATTTCACAGACCTGCAATGGCCATTAGAAGCAAAGAAACTTGATGGTTCTAGCTCTGCAGTGAGCACAATAGTGATCAGCATGTGCTTTTGTGCTTAGTTAATCCTACTTATTACCTTTTACTGAATCTGGTGAATCATGCTTGGACTTATGTGACCATGTTCCGAACTTGTAGTGTTGAACTTCTTATGTTGTGTTTCAGATCAGTTTGTCAACTATGTGTTGGGCCGGATGTTGGGCTTATGTATTGGCTTTATTGAACATGTACTATTGAACCTAGCTGTGTTGAACATGTTCTCTGTAATCAAGCTGTGTTGAACATATGCCAGATGTTGGCCTCATGTATTGGCTTCCATTTGTTGAAATGTGCTATTGAACCTGCAAAATATTCAGTGCAAACCACATCTTCTGTGCAATCCGTGAAAACCCCATTAAAACCATACTTAGGAGTTTTCAAAAAATTTAAAACTACGCATACCAATAGTGCATCTGTAGACATGCATTGTGACAAAATTTGAGATTCAAACTCGTTTTGCAAAAATTCATATGAAAATAACAAATTTGATTTGCATCTATGGAATCAAGCTGTGTTCAACACTTCAACTTGTTATAGTTGTGTGATGGTTGATGATATATATTATTATTATATATTATTATTACAATATCTTGTGATCCTCATTTGTCTATGCTACAAAAATGTTCTTATATTTACCAATCATGTATGCTTCGTTTTGCCAACTGGGACTACAGAGAAGATAAATCTTGCCATTGATGTGGAAACAAAATGAGAACGTGACGTTTACATATTTGTGAAACAAATGACACAGTTGGTGAAAAAAGTTTCATTGTTGTGCTAAGAATCCAAGCTGGGACAAAATCAAATTGACTGTAGGGGTAAATCCATCCTTCCACTGCTACTATACAGTCCAATTAACAACAGTGTCGTAGAGAGTAGTGAATGTCAATGTGTGGGCTGTTATTAGGCTGCTTGTTTTTTTTTTTTTTTTTTGAGAAAAGGCTGCTTGTTACTCATGTATACTCAAGCCTCCGGCTGTGATGTTGGGCCGTCAGGCCCATTTTGCTTTATAGGGCATTTTTTTCTTTTTATGCAATTCATGAATTGTTTCATCTAACATCACTGCTCTTTTAAAAATGTTTCTTCCATATACTCTTGTCAGTTTGTTAGTCACAGCTTTTCTAAAAATCTTAAAATGACATTAAGTATACAAATCGGTCTATATTGATATAAGGGGAGCACTATATTTTTTATGGTATACGGGGAATTTAATTTAGGAAAAAAAAAACTTATAGGTACTTCCGGAACAGTAATATGTACAGAGTCACAGACTATATGTTGCAAGTTTGTAAAAACCTTAGCAGTGGCATGCTAAGCCTATGCTCTTGAAAAATATACACATATTTTTGCTTGCATGGGTGAACCGAACCAGTTCTCATTAGCCATTTTCCCCAGCTGTGCATGTATGTACATACTAACATACAGTACTCTCATCCCACGTAATTAATGGCTAAAAAAACACACAAAAACTCGATCGGACATACTGCTGGAACTAAAGGATGAAGTACTGCTGCTTATCGTCCAGCTGCTGCTTGCCGCCTGATGATCTCCTGATGCCGCGGTCAAGGCCACCACGCGCGGCCGCGGACGCGGACGACGACGAGGCGGAGGGCGAGGTGGTGGTGGGCGCGCGGAAGCCGATGTTCTCGACGGCGCCGACGGTGTTGAAGAAGAGGAGGCGGTTGAGCTCCTCCACCAGCGTGCGGTGCAGCAGCTGGCTCCGCATGTCCACCATCGACCGGTTCCGCGTCATCCTCCTCCGCCGGCTGGTCCCGTCGTCGTCCTCCCGCCGCCGCGGCCGCCCGGCGTGCTGGTGCTGCGGCGACATGCTGCACTGCCGTTGCAGCTGCCGCGCGAGCTGAACGGCGGCGGAGCTGCTGCCACCGCCGCCACCGAACCTTGTCTTGGATGAGCCGCTGCCGGTGCAGCAGCCGGGCATGGGCTCCGCCTCGTCGGCACCTGAGGCGTAATGCAGAGGAGAGTACTTAGCGGAGTGCACGGAGCTCATGTCATCGTCGTCGCTTAAAGCGTACCAGTGATGATGATCTACACCAACAAAGTTTTTTCAAAAAAGAAAATGCACACGTGTCAAGGCTCAATGTCACAGCACACTCCCGTGCATGTGTGCACACTGTGTCATGTATGTATGTACAGTTGTAAGCATCTAGATACGATCTATGTCCATATACATAATAAAGTTATATTATATATCTAAAATTGGACGCAGCTAACGCATGGCCGGCCGGCCTCATGGCCGGCCGATATGACCTGCGCCCCGACAGCTCATCTTCTTCCTCGTGGCATCATCTCTCTCTCCATCTACTCTCACCCCGCCACGGCGCGCTTGGGTTTCACCGAAGCTCTGCCACTCCCGCCCCAACCTGGCTCGGCTGCCTCCACTATCGTCAGCTGCAACAGCCTCCAGCCATCCCCACCGCCTAGCTGGCCTTCCTTCCCCTCCAAACCCCTTCTCTTCTAAGGTCGCCAGTGAGGAAGAAGAGAGAAGAGAAGCTCGCCGTGTTGGGAAAGATGAGAGAGAGAGAGAGAAAGGAGAAAACTGTCGGAATCCAAACTTGTAGATCCAGGAGGAGGAGGACCCACCCCGCCGGCACTGCTGGCACCGAAACCCACTACCACTGCCGGAACCGGCCGTCGCGTGGGGAAAGAGCCGGAACCCGCTGCCGCATAGGGAGAGAAGGAAACGCGTGCACGTGGGTAAGGAGTGCGCGTCTGTGTGCGCGTATGGAGGAGGCCGTGCGGTGGCCAGATCTCTGAAGATTAACATGGATCAGATAAACAGGGACGACATAAGCAGGGGCAGTGCTGGTTATGACTGGTTATTGACCTGCAAGCAAGAAACTCACACGGACACCATCCTCATATGGCACATGGCAACCCGCTACGGTGACATGTCACTGCGCCATTGTGGTCAGCAGGAAGGGTTCCCCCGATTAGCCGACACCGACACTTTCCATGAAGTTGCCACAACATTGTCAAGATACTGCGCCTACCTAGTGGCCTTTCTTCCGGAGTTCCTCCCGGAGCACAGCCTGACCACCAAACAAGTGTTTCAAAGAGTCTTGCAGGAAGCACAGGGTGCACTTGGAACAACGCCTATAGAAGAAAAGGAGAAGCACACCAAGATGCGAGAGCTGCCACTACCGCACCATCGTGAGCAGCAGACGACCTTTCAAAAGGGTGTTGAGCTGGGACGACAACTTGAGATGCTCAATGACGACAAGGTACGCTGGAGGGTAATTGCAGAGTTCTGGGCGGAAACAATCCTGTACGTCGCGCCGTCCGACAACGCGGAGGCACACATCGAGCACCTGGCCAAAGGCGGGAAGTTTGTGACCCACCTCTGGGCATTGCTGTCCAATGCCGGCATCCTGAAGCGGGAAACAGGGGAATGTCATCCGCTGCCTGCTTCCACTACCACAGAGTAAGCAATATGCGGGCTACACAGCTAGCTAGGCGTAGGATGCTAATACATCCAGCTTGTTATAATATTTTGTACTCAACCCTCCAACTGATGTGATGTTAGGTCCTACAAATTTTGGTTTTTGATTTTGTCAGTTTATTCTATCGAGCTTAACTTCATGTCTTTTCTACCAAGGTTAGCAATTATACACTTGTTTTCTATGATTATATATGAAATCTAGCTTTCGCTTCTAATTAGTTTCCTTCTCACCATAGACAAACTTCGGAACCTCCAACGAACGAAAAAGGAAATCAACTTCTGGAGGATCACGATCAATAAGGTAATCTGTACTACATGTTCTATTTTTGGATCAGCATAGCTGTTTCTTTGCTGAGAGAATTCCTGTTTTTTATTGTTATGCATGCACAGTGCAAGTGTAAAGGTCCAAGGAAGAAGCAACCTAAAATTAAGGCTATTTCACAGGCCCGCAGTGGCCGTTAGAAGCAAAGAAACTTGATCCTTCTAGCTTTGCAATGAGCACAGTAATGGTCAGCTTGTGCTTTTGTGTTTAGCTACATACTTACCTTTTATTGAATCTGGTGAATCATGCTTGGGCTTATGTGACCATGTTCCGAACCAGTAGTGTTGAACTTCTTATGTTGTGTTTCAGATTTTCAGTTTGTCAACTATGTGTTGGACCCGATGTTGGCCTCATGGATTGGCTTGATTTGTTGAACATGTACTATTCAACCTAGCTGTGTGTTGAACATGTTGTCTGTAATCGAGCTATTGCGCTGCTTATTACTCATGTGTACTGAAGCCTTCGGCTGTGATGTTGGGTCGTCAGGCCCATTTTGCTATTTCGTTTTATCTGTCCGCCCTGGCTTCATGTGTTTTGATTTGCAATATTATTTGGTGTAGGTCATCCAGTTCGTGTTTCTCATGTGTGTATTCAAGCCTTTTTGACTGTGGTGTTGGGTCATGTCCATTTTGGTTTTCATTTTATCTATCCGGCCGGCCTTAGCTTCACGAGTTTTGTTCCCTTATCATCCACTTCGCATATGTATTGTACTTTCAAGTCATTAGTCATGTACTTGTATTTTTGAGTTTGTGACCGAATAAGTTATTGGGATTTGGCCCAACGTCAAATACTGTTTATCATGACTATACATGTCATGTCTTGCATCCTTAATTTGTTCTTGCTCCACGGATATATGCCCTGCTAATCCATTGCATTGTATCAGGAGCATAATTAATACCTAATTCAATTTCAAACCGTGTACAGTTTGTGAAATACAAACAAACAAATACCAAAATCAGAGCTGATTTTTTCAAAGAAAAAACAGAGCTCACAGCTTCACACCAGTTTCGAGAACACCAAATTTGGTCTCCTCCCCTGCAGTCTACAGGTACATGTCCCTGCGTCACCAACTTGCCAAGTGGCTGCGGGAGAACAACGCCTGCCTGCTCTGCAGGGCAACTTCTATTTTGCCGCTCTACACGACACGCCAACGTTATCGCTGTCTGAACATGGTGTGCCTCGTCTCCATATTTCTTTTTTCTTATTTTTCAAGGCCACGAGAACATTTGTGTTGTCGTTAGAACTAGCAGAGAGGCCCGCGCAAATAACACGGGTCTAGCTAGATTTTTCTTTTCATCATATAACATTTGGATTTTTCTTAAATTGACTTTTGTAAATAGTTTTTTGTTTGATTACATTAGTCATCCCTTTATCCATCTAAATTACATCACCGGTACGGACAACCATATATCAGCCAATCAATTTCATGGTTTAAAACTATTGTTATCTTTATTTCATCTTTTTTTCCTTTCCTATCAAGTAGTTGTAAATTTCTCAGGACGCCAAATCAACATAGTATTTAATTTCTTTGATAAGCTTCATTTCTCAATAGAATCTACCAGTTTTCATCAGTTCCTTCGTCCTCTTCTAAAAATTTGAAGCTTGGACCGTCTTATACGTTATGGGCATGTTTGGGACCGCTCTGCTCCAGTTTTTGCAGCTCCACTCCAGCAACTCCGTAGCAGCTCCATTGTGGAGTTTAAGGAGTAGATGGCACCGTTTGGCACACAGCCTAGCTCCAGCTCTAGGTATGGGTTGTTTCCATGCAAATGGTCTATTATGCCCTTGATTGACGAAGGGTTGTCCTCTTCTATTGATGAAGCATCAACATCTTCCATGTCTTTTCTCCCAAGGTTAGCAAATTCTACACTTGTTTTCTATGATTATATATTAAAATCTAGCTTTGACTTCTAATTAGTCTATGGTTAGCCTGTTCGCTTGAACTTATCAGCCGGCTTATCAGTCATGGTACAATATTTTTCTCTCACAACAAATCAGCCATACAAATCGGCACAAGCGGCTTATAGACCGTCTGTCGGGTCCATAGACCCAGGGTCTCCAATGGGCCCGCTTTTCTGCAACACTTGGCCCAGCAGACGACGTAGCAACGATGCGCGCCTGGGCCGGCCCATATACACGATGACAAGCCGAGACCACGATCTGTCCACTGACCGGCTCCTCCGGCCAGGAGACCTGGTCGGCACCCCGATCAGGAGGCCTGGTCAGGGGCAGGACCACAGTCTGACTCCGACCGAGTTCCCCGGACCGGCGATATGTTGGACTACGCACACCGCTCCTTCCCGACCGATATGGTCGGGATCGACCGGGGACGCTCGCTCGGTGTGGACCCGGGGAGCAGGTGGAGCAGATAAGGGAAAACACTCAGGTCAACCGCCGTGTAGAGGACCGTACCTCTCCACGCCCCACACACGCATCGCACAGTGCCGCTGTGCCATGTCAGGCGGACACTGTGCTACCTGCCCGACGCGATAGAGCACGAATAGGGATGGAGGGCGATGGCCATCCCGTACCCGACGACGCGACCATGAACAGGGATGGTGGGCGATGGCCAACCCGTACCCGACGACGTGGACAACGACAAGACTAGGTAGCGCCCATACACCTTCTCTCTCTGACTTTTAAGGCTGACCCTTTGAACTATAAAAGGGGATACGCTCTCTCTCTCTCTCGACAGGCAGCACAACACGATTACTGTTGTGCTCAAATTTTATATTATTTTTGAACATTTAATGATTCCCTTCGAAAATACTCCATTCTAAAAGTTATTGTTTTTTTCATGCCATGAGCTCTCGATAAGATCTACAAATTCTTATATTTGAGTTTTTTCATTTGAGGTCCTTAAGATGCTCAAAAAAATAATATAATATTCCAGCAGCATATTAATCGCGTATTATGGCTTGTCACCTTAGAAAAATAATATCATTCTTGTACGGTGTCGAATAAAGATACTTTGTATATAAAAATTGTTGTTGTCAATGAGATTATAAATTCCTGGTTTTGAGTTTTTTCGTTCGAGATCGTTAAGATGGTCCAAAAATTGATACAAACTTCAGGGAGCCAAACAGGACTGCCGCTGACATGTGGGTCCCATCTGTGAGATCCATGTAAGCGCTAAATCGACATGCCACGTATGGAA